CTGCACTGATCAGAGCATGTTTTCCCCACATATCAAGGTCTGTGACAGTGCTGAGCAGCAGAGATACCTGCTAGGAAGGGTAAATCTGAACTCCAATAGACAAACATCTGTGGCTTCCTTGCAGGTGAGAAATAAAATAAACCCACAAGCCCTGTTTCAGAGCAGTGTGCTTAATTTGATTTTTATGGCTTTGATAGCAGATGACAGTAATGCTATCACAAAGCCTCACAGCCACAGTCACAGTGGACGGTGTGATTTCAACACCTCCTCAACTAATCTTTTTGCCCACTGCTCCCTTTCCCTGGCTGCTAATTTCACACAGGCACTTAAACATGATGGATAATTGTGTTCTGCTTATCAATGTTTAATTTAAGGGCTGTTCCATCTGACCTGGATGCCCTCTGCAAGAGCTATGCCTCATTATTGATTTCATGGTCACACCTGTGACATTACCTGCTTTGTAGGAAGTAGACTTTGACATTCCTGTGAGGTTTTGGCAGCCAGAGATAATTGTCAGAAGAATAATCGAGTCAGCAAAATCATTACAGGTGATCTGTGTGTTACCACTGTTTTATCTGCCTCTAATTAGGTGCAGGAGTGGTAACTCATAGCAGTAAGCATGCTGCAGTGGTTTTGATGTCTGCAAATAAAGCTCGATGAACACAGGAGGGAAGTTATTCATTAACAGCTGTGCTCCAGCTTGCCCACGTCTTGTGCCGGGGCCATATCCTTTCCTGGAGTAACCAGGAATCTGGATACGATCGCATGCAGACTGTGGGCACTGCTGGGGTGCAAAACCTGAAGCACAATTAGGATGGAGCAAAGGATGGTGCGTGCTCTTGCTATTTCTGGATGGAGCAGGCCTGCTCTGCATTCAGCATGGTAGAGGCGATTGTAAGGCAGAGGCTGGGGACGTGGGATGGGGAGGAAGGTCCAAAGCTGCTGCCCCAGCTTTAGTCTCCTCCAGACTTTGGAAGTCAGCTGTGTAGGTGACAGGTACACCGAGTTCTTAATAATCACTGCTGATAGCTGGCTTTTATAATTTCATTGCACCTGTGGGAAAAGACAAGAGTGGATTAATTCCTTCCTCCTTTGTTATGGCTGTAACCAGGCTGGGACATGGTAACAACAGAGGTGCAGTGCAGAACAGTACGTCGTATGCAATCACACTGGATTCTTTTTTCAAGAGGAGCTCATCTCCAGTTGAGGTGCTGCTCTGCTCCTGATGCCACTGTTGCCAGTGCAACATGCATCCCAGTGGTTGGGCCAGTGGTCCTTGCAGGTCTGTTCCAACAGAAACACTTCTGGTTCTCTGAGTCTCTTGAGGTCTTCTTCCTGCTATCAGCGTTGTGAAGTCAGTCAAAAGTTTTCCTTACAATAATGACTGGAACAACAAGGGTGGTAGTATCAAAATCTGCACTTGGCAAAGGAAGAACTTGTCGTAGAGGAAGGAGATTTTTCAGACAAGTCAGTTTTGGTAATGAGTTTGGCTTCTGTGCTCCGTGTGTGTCCTGCCTGCTTGGGACCCTGCCTGCTTCTGGCTTCCAGTGGAGAAGCACTGCTGTGCTGGGCAGGATGTGAGGTGTGCCCTGCCTCGGGTGCCCATTTCAGAGCCCTTCCTGTGTGAGCAGGTCTTGGCACAAGCGTGTGTGTGAAGGATTCGCCAAAATGGAAAAGCTGGTTCTTACTGTACTGGTTATCTATTCTCTGCTTGAACCTGTATCTGGAGGAGTGGGACCGTACTGTTACTGTGCACCCAGTGCACTGCCCTGTCTTTGTATTCCTAGGCTGATGGCAACCTCAGTCTGCTGCAAACATGAAAAGTGGGTGGGAGATGATGCATGGACAACCGCTGGGTCTTCTCAGGAAGAAACATTACAAGTCCTCTATTGCAGAGAGTCTGTTCTATTGCATTGGCAAAAGGGCTCCTGAGCTAACCCCCAACACCTGAACCCTCTGCATTTTCTAATGCGTCCTTTGCAGTAATTAATTACCTCTCCAGTGCATTCATTTCTTTCATACTGTTACTGGCAATCAGTTAGATAAAGGGGAAAAAAAACATGTTGGTGCCCTGTGGTATTGAAAGTGAAGGGTTTTCACACTGTCAGGGTAATGAATTCTGCAAGGGTTTGAAGTACCTGAGCTTGGGGAAGTCCTTGTGTCATGTGTCTAGGAGTGACAACCCCCAGTGGTTAATTACTGCCATGGATGAGACTTGAGCTGATAGCAAAATGAGATAATTTCATTAGTAGTTAAGTGTGAAGTTAATTGGACTCACATTTACACACAGCAGTGTACAAAGACACAGTTGGAAATGCTCTTCACCTCTTTTCTTTAACAGAAGGTAAGTAAAATGAAGAATGTTTCTGAACCCCTCCCTCATTCTTCCTCCCACTGTGGTTTGGGGATGAGGGAGGCAGTTTCCACCGCACGCTGCCAGGCCGTTATCTTGTGCAGGGGTGCAGACCTGCCCATGTCCATGACCTGACCATGCTGCTGGCCATGCTGCTTGGGGAGGGTGTTGCTGACTTCTCCCGCTGCTGGTTGCAAAATAATTTCTTTTATGGAAGAAAATTACTTATTTGCACTTTTTCTGGGAAATGATAATTTGCTGTCAGTGCCAGCACGCCGTCAGCTCGCAGTGAATGGAAGGACGGACATTCATTGCGTATCTGCTGTGTGCAGGGCCAAGCACTTTGACACACATCTGCAGCCCCTGGTCCCACTGCGCCAGTTGATATTGTTGTTATTTAGCATCATTATATTTTACTTTCTGGAGGAATGTAGAATGAATTCCAGCAGGAATAAGCCTCAAAATGATGTACAGCGTTTCATCCCTGTAGCAAGCTCAAGATGGACACGTTTACTGACTGGATTAGACCAGCGTGTTCCTTGTTGCAGGATACTTTGTTGGGAAACGTCTTCTAAATGTCACATTACTTGGCGTGCTGCAGCACTTTAATCCATCAGACTTGTGACAACCTGCTAAGGAAGTGGTGGATTTTTTTCTCTATCGAGGAGATGGAACAGCCAGGATCACCTCCAGATGTGGTCCTCTTCTAGTCCACATCTTCCTGCACCTTTGCATTTTCAGAGGGGGATTCTTTGTCTGTATGGCACTCTGACAAGGGCTGTGGAGTGCAGATAATTCTGTATTCATGCTTTTCTGTTCAAACATTACTTCTGGGTTGACTACTGTTTTTGTCCTATGCCAGTCAGCATTCTTTGAACTGGTTCCTGGTTGACTTGCAGTTCTGGTGGGTGATGACAGTTGGCTGTCTGGTTTGTGGAAATAGGACACTGTAGGAAAGTGGTGTGCTGTTTGACACTAGCGCCATCCACACTCATGTGAAAGCATCCCATCCTCTCAGCTGTGTCTCCTCAACTTCCCCTCCCTTCCCCTCCCTTATCCTAAGTGTCTGTGACAAAGGCAAAAATTATACACAGATGAGAAAGAGCTTGCTTGGGACCTGGGAATCATGGAATTGCAGAATTATAGAATGGGTTGGGTTGGAAGGGACCTTAAAGAACATCGAGTTCCAACTCCCATGCTGTGGGCTGAGTTGTCACCTGCTCGAACAGTGTTTGGTTGAATTTTGCCTTTGTGGAAAGGCTGGGGGAGCAAATGAATCCCTGGCATGTGATGGGTTGGAGTCCACATTGCAGACAGACTTCAGGGTACTCCCCAGTGGCATGAAGGAGCCCAGTGAGGAGGTGGACCCCAGAGTGCAGCACGCTGCTCTGAATATTCACCCTCAGGGATATTGTGGATGGAATAATTTCATGGCCTTCAGGACTCTCTCCCTTGCTGAGAGGATCAGAAGCAGTTAGTTAGTTATCTGCAGAATGTAACCAAGTGTTTGTCAGCTAATCAGTGACCTGGTTTAGGCCAAGCATACAGAGTCCATTATGCTGCTCTTGCCCCTCAGTCTCACTTTCCATTTGAGGAAAAAAAAAGAAAAGCTGGTTGTGTCTCCAGCCAGCACTGTAGCAGTGGTTGCAGGTGGGTCTTGAACATCTCAGAGGAGGACACTCCACAGCCTCTATGGGCAGCCTGTGAAACTGAAGCAAGTGCAGCCTGAATGATCTCCTCCATGGTGTGGGCTCAGTAGCATCCAGATGACATTTGAGCCAGGGGACGGGGGACAAACCCCTGCTGCAGGTGGCACACAGAACAGGGTCCCTTTTTCCTCCCCTGCCTGGAGATGATCTGCACTGAGGGAGATGCCGTCTTGGCAGGGTGCAGCCATTGCTTCCTCTGTGCCTTTGGGGAAATGTCTACAGCTATGGGCCCAAGGGCTGTGTGGAGCTTTGCCTGGAGCTGGGTTTGAAGCGAGGGCACCTCAGCACTCTGGATGAGAGGTATGGTGAGGTGGGGGACAGCCCATAGCTGCTTTCTGCAGCGTTGTGTGCGGACCCTAATGACAGAAGGTTTCCCTAGCATCAGTGAGGAGTACTGCATCAGGCTGTGAACTGCCTGCTCTTTTGCTGGAACATCAGCTGTGTTTTGGAAATTAATTCATGTCCCAGTGTGTGTGTGTGTGTGTGTGTGTTTCCCTAAATGACTTTCACTGAAGATGGAAATAATGCTTTTATCACATTTAGATCTCTGCAATCCATCAGCTCATACAGTGTAATTTTCTGGAGAGTTTCCTGGAGAAGTGCTGTTAAAATAAGCATTATTTGACAAACTTTGACTTTACAAAGCTGAACTTTGGAGAAACTTGGGAGCAAAAGGAGAGCAGTTGGAGTTCAAAACAGGGCTTCATCTCCCCGCAGGAATCTGTTCTTCCCCTCACAAGCCCTCACTTTGCCACAGCATGATGGCAGCCGGTAGAGTAAGCAGAACTGTTTCTCCTCTCTCCAAACAAGCTAGCAGCTGCTTGCTGACGCTTGCGGAGCTGTTGTGACAAACAGGTCTTTGCAGCAGTCAGGAAGCTGTAGGAGCATGTCTGCCAGCGGTGATGCTCACGTGGTGATTTGTTGGTTTGATTCCTCAGGTCGCGAGCTGGCAAGCACAACCCTCCCAGGATACCCTCCGCACGTCCCCCCTGCTGGACAGGGCAGCTATTCTGCCCCTGCGCTGACAGGAATGGTGCCTGGTGAGTCTGCAAAATGAAGGGGGGTGGAGAGGCGGCACTGCAGAGGTGTCCCACTGTGTCGGTGGGAGCTGAGTGCTCAGGGTCTGGCAGAGCTTGGCTCGTGTCTGTGTCACACAGTGCAGTGCTCACTTGGTACTGGCTGAGCATGCGCACACAGCTCTGAGCAGGATGGTGACATTTGGGCGCTGGCAGCAAGCAGCAGGTGAATGCCTGGTGCTAGGGAGTCTGCATGGGCTTGCTCCTGTCTGAGCACAGGGGGCCTAGTGCTGCTGGAAATCAGTGTTCTCATTTCAGCTTGAAATAAACAATATCCCCAGGCCCTGCTGTCTTTGATTTGGGCATGACAGACATTGCTGTCTACAAGGGAAAGAAGTATTCTAAGCCCTAAACTTACATGTTAAAATTCATGAATCTGGACCCTAATCATAGAATGGCCTGGGTTGAAAAGGAGCACAATGCTCATTCATTTCAACCCCCCTGCTGTGTGCAGGTCACCAACCAGCAGCCCAGGCTGCCCAGAGCCACATCCAGCCTGGCCTTGAATGCCTGCAGGGATGGGGCATCCACAGCCTCCTTGGGCAGCCTGTGCCAGTGCCTCACCACCCTCTGGGGGAAAAACTTTCTCCTAAAATCCAACCTAAACCTCTCCTGTCTCAATATCGTATGGTTTGAAAATGAATGGGTACTCGGAGATTCTCTTTCTTTCCCCTACTTGTTGCTTTCCAAGCCTTTAAGGTCCTCTGAGATTGTCACTTTGGAGTCAGCAAGGTCCGACAGTTATTGAAGAAAATCTCCCACAGTGGAATTTCATATGTAGTCACATGGCTTCAGGAGATGGTGGTTTGGAAAACAGCTCTCAGTAAGCAAGTGGTAGTCAATGGTAATTATTTATTGTCCTGGCTATTTTGGGATTCGTATTTTTGTCCCAAACTGATTATAATCTGTAATATGTGTTCCAGCCGATCACTGAAAAATTAAGAAAAAGAAACAGCCATTTTACTTGTGCTGGTTATGGAAGCTAGGTCAGAGGTTAAGTTGAAATAATTTTTACCCATCAAGTATAATTTTTGGAAAGTTCTTCATTTCTTGTAAAGATCCGAATGCAGGTCTGAAAGGTTTGACTCCTTGCTGCATGCTATTTCTCAAGGACACACAAAGTTACTAGTAAGCTTTTCCATCCTCATTGAGGCTGTTCTTACTTCAGAGGCATTGCCAGCTGCTTAGATCAGCTGAAGGTCTGCACTTCCATTAACTTTTTAACATGGCTGTTACACTTTGAGCATTTGGAGCACCAGGATCAGTTAATCACATGTGTGTCAGGCAGGCCATGGAGATGTATGGGCAAATGAGAGTGCTGTGCATGAGCCTGCTGTTACATACACAGCTTAGAGATGTAGCGCAGCGAGTGGGAAGCAGGTTCAGCAGTGTCTGATGTCCCATCCTGCCAGTCCCCTCAGCTCTTGCTCGGGCTCTCCTGTGCTGGCTCTTCACCAGAGCCCTGAGCCCCTGCTTTTCTTGAGGCTCATTCTGCCACTGAGGGTAAACCTGAGGACAAGGAAGGCAAGGGGGAGGTCGGCCTTATCTGGCATCTGCAGCTGCCAACTTACCCGTGGGAAGTTTCAGACAGCTTATGTGCACCTGAGAGTGGTGATCTGGAGACTTTTAGAAACCTTGTGGGAATCCGTTGCCTTCTTTTGGACTTACACCCAATATGCAGCTCCGAGTCTCTGTCACCTCCCAGAGGCTTTACTCTTCCTTTTCCTTTTGGCGGATGCCGGGGAATGGATGTGTCCATGGCTGCCACCTGTTTGGGCACACCTGCTGGAACAGGACACAGAACTGTGAGAGTGATGGTCATGGCAGAGCTCAGCACAAGGGGGGGGTTCGGTGATGTACAGTCATCTGAGCCAGTTTTCCTGGGTAATAGATTTTATTTTTAACTACACATAGGCCTCTGTGACCCGTTACATTGAATAACTGCACTGTTCCTCTCACTGGTTCCTTTAATAACAACCTTCTGCTCCAGCTAGTGTGAAGGTCAGCTGCAATTTCTTCAGGTTTGCTTTCTCATTTAAGTGAGAATTTGCTAACTAGCATCCCAAACATCTTCCCAGTTCTTCTTTGCCTCTTGTCATTTGCCTGGCTGGGGAGAGCATCCAAAGCCAGCTGTCAGATCAGGGCTGGGGCCACAGAACATCCGTGGTAGTTCTGATATAGACACGTTGCCATGACCAAGCCTGTGTGCATCTGTTTTGCCTTTTCACAGGGATTTACTTTGTGACCTGCTGCTTCCTTCTCATAGTTTTCAGAGCACTTGCTAGAAATATGCTTCCTCAATAAGTTTTTTAATTGTAAGCCACGAATTTCTGCTCATAATTAAGTATTTGTGAGAGCGAAGTAGTTAGAGGTGTGGGAGCAGCAGATCCATGGTGAGATGTAAAGGGCTCTGTTCTGCCTCCTGCAGACATTGCTTGTGCTGCAGTGAGTTCACTGGTTCCTCACTGCACTGCTGGTGCTTTCCTCATGTCTGTGGTGTCCGCCTCACATGGTGCGTGTGAAATGTGAGGGAAGTGTCTGAGCCCCTTGGCGTTTTCACCAAGCATGCATGGATTCAGCTCCTTGTTCTCTTCTCACTGTTCTTTCCACCTCCCTGCTCTCCATCTGAACAAGAAAGGCTCCCCACTATCAGCCTGTCCTGACTCTCCACCAGCAGGACCCTCCCACAGGAGCATCTCCCCTCTTCACCTGCTGCATGGCCACTGTTGCATGCTATGGCATGGAGCTGCTGGTGGGCAGCTGGATGGGAAGACAACTGGTGGGATGCTTGAGCTTGGAGAGCGATGGTTGGTGCCAAGCTCTGCCTGCACGCTGGATACAAGTACAGCACTGTGACATGCACCCAGGAGTCCATCCTATGTAATACCTTTATCCATGCACAGGAGGCACAAGGGAAGGCAATACATGTTGACTGAAACAGATGGAGATAGGATACATGGGAAGGCTTCAAACTTCCACCCATCTGGATATCTTCAGATGCCTGGAGAAGCTGTTTTGTCTCTGTCTTTGTGGGTTTTCCAGTCCTGAGCACCCTGGTCTGGCTCTTTGTTCACTGTGTTGTGTGCAGGGCCAGGAGATCTGCTGCAGTCTTGTGCAGCAGAATTACCCCATCATTATGTGACACTGTGTTTTGGTTACAGCGCTGCTGAAAACACATCACAGAATCAGGAACTGTTGAGCTTCTTTCTGGCATAATGATCAGAGCTGTAGCAGAAAGTGGCTGTCTGAGAACCAGTGCTAGCAGTCCATGCAGATACACGGGAGTGAGAGCTCTGCTCTGGATCAGAGCTGCTGTTAAACAACAGAGGTGTGGATGGCCTTCAGGATCTCGATGGAGGCTTCTGGCAGTGGCCTTGTCACAGGACAGAGACCGACGGCTCCATGAGGACCTGCAGAAATTGCCCTCTATCCTTCTCCCACCCTTGACCATTGTGCCCTCTTGCAGCCCCCTGAGGTGCAGCTTCTGGACCCACCGAGACCTCCTGTCTGCCTGCACCCCGTGCCTGGCTGCTCTGTGCTCAGCAGCTCAAGCTTGCCCGTAGCTCTTCTGGCCTTGGTTTCAAAAGTGCTCAGATAACACCCCGTTACCCTCTGTGTCTTCTCCACTCTTTCCTCTCTCCTTGTCTTTGGGATGAGCCCTCTCCCGTGCCCTGCCTTCCCCAGGGCTGTCATTCACAACGTCCTCCAGGGGCCTTCAGCACAGGCTGACAGGAAAGGGTACAGCATCCAGAATAGCGATGCTGAAAATACAGTCATTAATGGGACTCTTGAAACCCAGATGTCCTTTCTGAGCACCGGTAATTTGTTTTTAATGAAAAACCATGCAGTGACCCTGAACAAATGAATTTCCTTTATATGAAGTCCATGTGCAATTACCCAACTAAAGGGACCTGAAAACACTGACATTCAAAACTGGTCTTTGAAAAGTATAAAAATAGCAATAGTGCCACTTACAATTTTTCATCAAAAAAAAAAAAAAAAAAAAAAAAAAAAAGAGGCTCATCCTGATGAGCAAAGCAGAAATGGTGTCGGGAGGAAAAAAACAACACATGGTTTTTAGAAGAATTTTTCCTTGCGATTAGTGGGTATTAATGCAGACAGGCCAGATTGTGTATCTCTTCTCTGCTTGGTCTATTTCTCCCATCCAGTCCTGGATGGGAAAACGCCCTCTGTCAACCTGCTTGGTACACAGCGATCTTTTACAAGGAACAGAAGCACAGGTGCTGTGTTGAGGCTGGGATCAAAAGACAGGAATGAGCGAGCAGCTCCTGCACTGAGCCTTCAGGGACAGGCTTCCCTACAGACTGAAACCTTTTGGTCATAGCTATCATTGTATATCCGTGCTATTTGTCCTGACTCTGCCCATGACAAACTCATGTGATGGTGTGAAGCAGTAAATGTGACAGGAAGGGAGGTGGGAGGTAACACACTGACAAACAGGGTCTGACGAAGAAGTCACTGTGTGTGGTTTGGTAGAGGCCATCAGTGTCAGAGCCGGAGGACAGCCCTGCACTGTCCTGATGGACTGCATGAGCTGAACTGGCTGCCTACTGGAACAGTGGAGCTGCTGCCACCAGTAAAACAGAAAGGAAAATCAAGCTGAAAACAAGGAATGAACCTTGGCATTCCTCTAGTCGAGTGGAGAGCAGCAAGTTGTCTCCTTAGAGCGTGGTGATGATTTCTGAAGCTGTTTGCCATCTGCTTCGCTTGCTTCATACACTGAGATCTCAACAAGGATTTTTGTCCCTGTGCTGATTATGATCACTGACTTTGTGCCAGTATCCTGGCTTTGCACAGCTCTGCTGTAGGCTGGATCATACTGCGCTCATTTCCATCGTCCCCCTGTGCCCTGCAGTGCCCTCTGTGGCACTCATCTGTTTGGGGCTCCTGGGGCCAGGGTGCTCAGCAATGCTCCGATGTTGCTCTGGTGGACTTCAGGCAAA